CACCCTGGGCCCTCCCGCCGCCTCCCATATGCAGGTAGCTTAGTGGCTTCCCCCAAGGCCACTTTTCCTCCCTGCCTCCCGACCTCTCTCGTGTCCCTACGTCCAACCTGGTCCCTGAGCTAGTCCCCAGGTGCTGCTTCCTCCCGTCCCTCCCCCTCCCAGCCCCATCGTCCTGCCCACCCTCTCTGCCCCGCCCCTGCCTCTCCGTCCCCACGGCCTCCGCTCCTGTCTCGTCTCTTCCACGTGGACTCTTTCTCCCCCTAACTGCCTGGTCCCCAGATTCTCCCCTCCCGCCGTTCCCCACATGGATCCAGTGGGGTGTGTCTGACGGCCAGCGCTGACTGTCTCTCCCCCCGCCCAGTTCTTCCTCGCTCCTCGTCACGTCCAGGGCAGAGTCCCAGCCCCTCAGCCTGGCGTTCAAGGCCCCGTGTGGCCCGGCACCAGCTGACGACTTCGGGCTCGCAGGGCAGGGCCCCTCGTTTGCACTCTGCTTTAGCACGGTGCATTCATTCATTCGCTTGTTCGACGTCTATTGAGTAATAATATCTCTATCAGGAGGCATTTGGCTAGCAGGTAATAGAAAACCGGACTTAATGCAATGTAAAGAATAAGAAATTCATTCTCCCACCCAAAAGGAAGCCCACAGCTAGGGTGGGTTTGGGTTTGGTTGAGTCGGCAGCTTAATGATGTCATTTAGAACCCAGTTTCTATTTCCCTACTTTTTGGTCTGGGATATAGTCCCTTCGTACATCGGCTTGCTTACCTCATGGTCACGAGGTGGCTGCCATGGTTCCAGGCATCACTTCCAGAGGTCTTCATCTTAAGAACTTCCAAATGACCTCTCCTCTCATTTCATTGGCCAGCGCTCAGTCACCTGCTCACTCTTGTCGCGATTGCTGGCAAAAGGGATGAAATTATGATGATTTCAGTCCGCGGTCCTCGACTCACATGTGAGGATCTTAAAGAACTTATACCTAATCCCACCTCAGATCCAATTTAACCTGAATCTCTAGGTCCGGAGTCCCACCACCTCCATTTTTTGAATGTTTGGCAGGTGATTATGATGAATAATAAGGGTTGGAAGGCAGTGGTTTAAACTGGATGGGATGTCCCCGAGGGAACTGGAGATCGGTGAGCCTCTCCTGAGTCACGTGGGTGGGGAACGGACCCTCATCCAATGGGGGAAGAAGGATAGGAATGGGGTCAAAGGGGTCTCCTTTGCGGCTGTCTGTTATAAGCACCTACTCTGTGCCAGGCGCTATGCTAGTCATAGCACATGCCCTGGTGGCAAAACAGACAGTTTCTCTGTTCTGTTTCCTTCCAGTGTCCCCAAAGTCCTCTTTCTTTCGGAGACACCCCTCCCCACCCCGCACGACACACACCATCTCTAACTTAGACCGAGGCACCCACCTAATCAATATAATTTGTGTTCAGCTCCAAAATGGTTGAGTGGAACCGAGTTGACCAGTTGACCAGTTTTACCGATCAACATGTGCTCATTTTCCGTTTTGCTGTTTTCTTTGTGGCATTTTGGAACCAATGACAGTTTTAGCGTATGGAGTTGCAAACGTTGGCCTAGGCCCATGGCGCCCAAGCATTTTGCCTGCAGAGCCTGATGAATGAAATGACGCAGCCTGTCCTCAGGCAGGGGAGGCGGGCGGGCATGAGGCACACTATCTCATAAATAATTAATAACCTGCAATGGCCATAAGTGCTCCTTAGTCTTGGGGCTGAAGAGAATTCTGGGAGGTTTCTGCAGATGATCCTCTCCTCTTTCGCTTCGAGACGAAGGTCCGGAGGCGGGAGGGAGCACAGAGGGTTCCAGTCACAGACAGACGGTGATTCTCAAATGCAGCAAATGAGGAGGATGATGACGCCTGATCGGGCTTAAGACATCGGCAGGGTCTGATCGCATGTGGTCACGTGGGCCACGGGGAGAGCTTTGGACTTCATTTGTCTCAAGGACGATGAGAAGCCTTGGGAGGGTTTTGAGGAACAGGAAGACGTGATCAGATCTCTCTTTGCAAATGCTATTCTGATCGGGTGATGGGGGACAGAGTTAGGAGGCTGTCATCCAGACGGGAGTCAGGTGAAAGGCAACAGACTGGGGAGATTGAGAATATAGGCTCCCGGATGTGGTTCCACAGTGTAGCGGGGAGCACGTCTGCTTAACACGCAGAAAGTCCTGGTGTTGGCGCCCCGGTGGAGCCACTGGTCCATGGTCTACGGCCACGCCACCCTGAACAAGCCCGATGTCTGATCTCGGAAGCTAAGCAGGGTCGGGCCTGGTTAGTACTTGGATGGGAGACCACCTAGGAAGACCAGGTGCTGTCGGCGTAAATAAAAAAAACAGAGAGAGAGAGAAAAGGGAACTCAGGCTCTGGATCCAGATGCTTTTTATCTTCATCCTATCGCTTTGGGCTGCGTGACCTTGGGCATGTCATTAAACCTCACAGTGCTTCCAGTTCGTCTGTTTAATTACCTCAGAAAGTCGTCCTGAGGATGCAATGGAGAGAATTTTCGAAAGCGCTTGGCTTTTTAAAAGGGGCTGGAAAACACGTCGTTCCTGTTGTTGTTAACCGGACGGATTTGAGAAGGAGATTATTGCGTTGGGGGGATGTAGAGGCGGCCAGTACAGCTGGGGGAAAATGATCAGAAAGGTCACCAGGGGTGACCACACGGAGGGCAGGTGCATCTCAAAGGGGATCTTATTAAAATGCAGATTCCCATGCAGTAGGTCTGGGCTGGGACCCTGAAATCTGTGTCCATAAGGGGACTTGATCCCAAAGGCAAGATGAAACCTCTGTTGGTTTGTAAGCAGGAGGAGCTGAGACGTAAAAATCCCCCCAGCTGCCCTGCGGGAACACGTGGAAGGCAGCAGGACGGGGACCAGAGAGGGGGACTTTCTGTGGTGCAAGCTAATATCTGTTGACGCCCTGAAGCCGTGTGCTGTAGATGGGCTGTCCCGGCTCGCAAGGGCCCATTGTGGACTTTTGCAAACTGGTTGCTAAAACTGTGGGCAGAATGAGATTGGTCATGGTGGGAGTACTAACACTATGAAAACGGGAAATGCTGCAGTCTGTGTGTGCGTGTGTGTGTGTGTGTGTGTGTGTGTGCGCGTGCACACTCACTCGCACGAGAGAGACACAGACAGAAAAGCACACCACTGAGTGTACTGACTTATAACGAGGGAGACCGTAACACACACATGCAATGTCCGAGGGAGAAGCCGAGAGAGAGGACTTTGAACAGGAGCCGGGCGGGAGGCACTCGGCGGCGCGGGGCTTTGCTCTGGATCACGTGCCGGCAGGAAGTGGAGGCCGGTCCCCGAGGCAGGAGCGATGAGCGGCACTAACCCCGAAAAGCAGCAGCATCGGCTCTGAGCCACGACGGGCACGTCCGGTCGCCCTTGTGCCTCCGGCAGGGTCCGCATCTTGTTGTGTTGACGCGTGACTCTGGGTGATCTTATTTTTATCTTGGTTCGCCGTGATCACAGCGAGGCCTTGGCCGATGTTGGTTTTTTGCGAAATCGTTTATGGCAATAGACGATGGAGAGAGAGGCAACAGGGCCTGGCCGTCGGCCGTCAGAGCTGCTTTCTGCTTTGTTCAGTTGCTGCAGCAGAGACCCCCAGACACAGTGGCGTTAAGAAGACGGTTTATTTCTCGTGTAACAGAGGCAGGTGGTCCAGTGGGTGGGACATCTCAGCCTATGAGATGACTCAGGGGCCCGGGTTCCCTCCGTGTTGTGGCTCCGCCGTCTCTCGTATGATGGAAGTTGACTTATTGCCACGTCCATAATCTGCCACATCCGAGGGAAGGGGCAACGAGTCTCAGACGAACGATCTTCTTTTAAGCAAATGACTCCAAAGGTTCGTTGTCACTCCCACTAACACTGTGGGTGAGAACTCGGTCATGTGGCCACATCTCGCTGCAAGGGAGTCTGGGAACTGTTGTCTCTAGCTGGGCGGCCATGTGCAGGCAAAACTCTAGGATTGTAGAGGAAGGGGAAAATGGATTATGATGGATTATGGCCATCGAAGACCAGTTGGCTGACCGTCGGGTTGTCTAGAAGGGCCCAGACTCGAGAGCTGTTATCGGTCCACAAACTGGATTCGCATGCTGCTCCTGGAGCGGACTGGGACCGCTGGGAGGACCGGAACGGGAAGCAAAGAATTGTCCCCCTTCTTCCTATCTTGCAGTCCCCCTCTAGTGCCACCTTTAGGCAGAGTCTAGCGAGAACCTAATAGGAACCCGGCTGTCAGAGTGGAAATAGGGTGGGTAGGTTCCTCCTGGTCACAGAGCGGGGCGCGGAAGCGTGGTGTTTGGAGCTTAGAGACGATAGCTTAATAACTGGCACAAGAGCTATTCTGGGGGTGTCATGGACAGCACTCGGTGATGCCCACTGAAGTGGAATGACATGTGAGGAGTGCTCGTGGCAGCTGCCATTCGGTTCTATGTCCCCAGGAGCCCTCCTTGTGGACCTTGAGACCCCTGAGGAGATGCTGGCTTGGAGACCGGGCAGGATCAAGTCCTCGTGAGTGGCCCCCAGCCCCATGACTTCTGACCTCAGCTCTCTGGAGTGCGGTGGCAGCGACCCCTGACCTCAGAGGTCCCTGCCTGATGGCCCTCTCCCCAGGAAGCAGTACCTGCGCCACATCATTGCAGAATATGAGGCCCTGGACCAAGAACTCCCGTGCATCAGGAAGTTCCCCACCCCGCCCGCTGCCCAGCCCCTCTGCTTGTGCTTGGAGACTCTGGTGAGTGGCCCCAGCCCTTGTGGAGTGGGGTGGGGTGGTGGAATGGGTGGAAAGGCACAGAGCCAGGTGGACAGAGTCCGAACCCAGACTCTGGGGCCTACTGGCTGTGGGTCAGGCACCAGGACAGGTTGCTGCAAAGTGTGAATTTGTTAAAAGTCAACTGTCAAATATATCACTGCTGGTCCTGGAGGGGCAGGGGGAGGGGCGGAGAACGAGGGGTGAAGAAGGACGGTGGTTGAAAGGCAGAGTGGGGGGACGGAGGACAAAGGAAGCCCTGCTAATCTACCTGCTAGGAAATTCTGTGAAGCTTACGAACGTAGCAAAAGCATGAGAAGAAGCCCATGTCTGCGGTAGATTCGGCAGGCTTCAGTGTAGGGTCTTCCTGGTGCCACAGGTAGATAAGAGTGGACATTGATGGGTCGCCAATCGCATGTCCGGCACATGGCTCAGAGGCTCTCTCTCAGCTGATTTGGCTGTCTACTCCCACACGGGGATCGCTTTGTTTTAGGGACAAATCTCTATCCTACAGCTCTTCTCTTTATGGCTTTGAACATGACCCCTTTCCTGCCTCCCCCCACCACACACTCAAGGCTTTCCAGGAGGGGACCAATGTCATGACTTCATTTAATGCTTCAGCAATTTTATATGCTATGACAATGGCAAAATCCCGTGGACATGGTAATCTCATGCTGAAAATGTGGTTTGTGGTCAATATATGTCTCTGAACGTTAAATAGATTGACATGAAGTCAAAACCCCCTAGGACCTTTAGTTTTTGACAGCTGAGCATTTCTTAAAATGGTAATATGAATATAAAAGGAAAAGACAGTAGATGCTTTTCTACCTGAGGGAGGGACGGGACCCGATGATCGGGTGTGATCTTTGTCCCTCAGATGCCACCTGGGCCTCTGCCACGTTCTGCAGGTGGGGTTTAGGGTGAGGACTTCAGAGCCGGACTGAACCCAAATGTCACAGCTGAGGCTCTCTCTCTGACTCCCCCAGCCCGAGGAGGACCTCACTCACCTGGAGGTGCTGGAGGCGCTGGAGGCCGAATTACCTGGGGCCATGGAGAGTGGCCGCGTAAGCAGCATCCGCTTCGAGAACATGAACGTCATCTGTGGGACTGCGGGGCGCAGGGACCGGTGAGCCCGCGGCGGGGGCGGGGCGGCGGGGACAACGGCGAGGGGGCAGAGCGGGGAGTGAGGTTCGGCGAGGGTCGGGGTCTACTAAGCGCAGGAGAGGGTCCGAGTCCGGGAGACGGAGCCGAGTGGGCGGGGCCTGGAAGTTAAGGCAGTGGGGGGGCGGGGCAGGGCCTGCAGCGACAGTAGGAGAGCGTGGACGCTGCGAGGGCGGAGCAATGGGGATGACGGTGAGAACCGGGAAGGGGCGGAACCGAGAGTGAGCGCGGTGACGGGGCTGGGCCAGGAGGGATCAGCGAGGAGGAGGGATCTGGAGTGATGGGTACTTGAGTGACTCGGGTGGTGACGGCGATGCGCAAGACGCAGGTGTGAGAAGGCAGAGCCTGGAATTAGCGCATTGCAGGTGCTGGGCCCGGGGCGATTAAGGGGCCTGGGGCCTGGCGTGTCTAGTTGGGGACGGATCCGGGAGCGACGGACCGCTGGGGGCCAGAGCAGTATTGAAGGGGCGGGGCCGGACGCAGAGGGGGCGGGGATTGGAAGAAGTGGGCGGGGCCGGACTCAGAGGGGCGGGGTTTGGACGAAGATGGGCGGGGCTGGACCGGACGGAGAAGGGGCGGGGTTGGATGATGATGGGCGGGGCTGGACGCGGAGGGGCGGGGCCGGGAGAAGGGTGCGGGGCTAGGAGCTGCCAGCGAACTGCGGGTTGAAAGTGGGCGACTGAACCAGGCTGAGAGAGAAGATGGGACCCAGAATGACAGAGGTGAGGGGCGACGTACAGACTGACCTGGAGGGGAGTTTAGGGACGGAGTGACGAGTTGAGGGACCGGGGTCGGTAAATGCACAGGGACGGGGCGGGGACGTTTCGACGGTCCAAGGCGGGGCCGGTACCACCAGATTCCCCTCCCGTCCCTGCCCTCTCGCAGGTGGCTCATCACGGTCACGGATTTCCAGACTCGCTCGCGCCTGCTGCGCTCGGGGCTCCACCTGCGCGGGCTCGCGCGCCCGCTCGTGCGCCACGACGAACTGCTGCTGGGCGATTACCGCCTGCACCTGCGCCGCTCCCTGGTCCGACGGCGCATGCTCGAAGCTCTGGGGGCGGAGCAGGCCGAAGATTGACGCTTCTGGGGGCGGAGCAGGCCGAAGATTGACGCGCGGGGGCGGGGCTTGCGCACCGCCCGGCTGGCTCGGGCCGCCTACCCGAGGCCGGGAGGAGAAGGGGCGTCGCCTTCCCCAGGAAGGAGGCGGGGCCGGCTCGAGGGGGTGGATACTGTGAGTTTAATTATAAAGAATGACCTGGTACAAAAGCCATTTCTCTCTGCAAAATCACGGCGGGGAGTCAGGGGAGGTGATGGGACATAGGGACGAGCCCCCATAAAATAATCCCTCCTCCCCAGTCTTCCCCCAGTCCCTGCAAATGGACGCCTGGGTCCCGATCCCTCGAGGGAGGAACTGAGGCCCGCGGGAGGGAAGATCCGGGAGCCGGGGCTTTCGACGCGCGCCGACCTGGGTCTCAGCGAAACC